CAAGCCTAGCGCTGGCATCTCAACTCAGGTTTGCTCTCTTAACAAAAGGTGTTATTTAATCCTTGCAACTGCTCTAATAGGTGGGTATGACCGTCCTCACTGCAGCTGCACGCTAGTGGCTGCTTAGCATTTGGAAATTCACAAGGGTCCTCTGTTATCATCCTCCAATGCTCATGGTTTAGGCAGTGGTATCTGATTCTGGCTATACTTAGACTCAACTTAGAAGCTTTGGAACATACTGATGCCCAAGTCCCATCTCATATTAGTAACACAGTCTACCTGGGAGTGAGGCTCAAATACCAGGACTGTTAAAAAGTTACAGATTTTAAGGTGGATGCACCCTCTTCCGTTCTGGACAGTTAGCCCCACTAGGCCAAAATCCTTACCAGATCTGCTTCTAGAGCCCTTTCCAGAAGCCAGCCCAGTCCTCTGCGGAACGTGCTCAGAGTATGTAGGCTAAACCAAGGAACCAACTGCCATATGGTCACAATGGAAAACCTGGAAGTGGTATGGAAATTCATGTCACGTGACTCATTATCTTCCCTATCCATGCCCAAAATGAACTTCAGAAAATGCCAACAGAAGATTTATAGTTTATGGGAATCTCAAAATTTCACATGCATTTGCAACAAGCTCTAGGAGAAATGGCATCGCAAGCTGCCTGACTCTCCAACAAGAGAAAAGTCATACAATGCATCGTATGGGCTTTAACCTGGACTAAAACCCAACAGTTACCCTCAAACAGGATTATTTTCATGCACCCGCTAGCTTGGGATTTAATTAAAATCTCCTTCAACAACTGCCAAGATATTATTTAAACTCAGTCTTTATTACCTTCTCCAGAATTCTTTTTTTATTACTAGGATGAGCAAAATGTTAAGTCAGGTTCTCTTGATCATTATTTATGTATTAAGCCCTTGGAAACACACAGGGACAGCTAAGACTCCTATCAGTTTCAGTTTTCAATACAGGAAGCATGAAAGGCAGAATGGTCCCTTAAGATGAGATGTTTAAATGGCAACTTCTTTGCCACTGGATCAGACCACACATGTGGAACCCAAGGGCTTTGTCCAAGCAGGACAACTCAACCGCAGGCTCAGGAATTAGATACTGAGAAAAGTACAAGGGAAGATCAAGAGCCAGCCAGCCTGGGTAGGGAAGGGCATGAATCATCTAAACGGGGTCCTCATCCCCTCCAGATGTCAAAGCTCCAGGGGCCACTGCCAGCCAGAGCTGCTACCACTGATCTCAGCTAATAGTGGGTAAGAAGGAAGCCCTAGGCAGCTGAGTCCCAGGGGAGAGCACGCTTGGGGGGCATCACCCCAAGGAAAAGATGGAGAGGATTATAGGAAAAACCAAAGGTTATCTATGTGCCACAAGGAGGGGCTTCAGCTTCCAGCCTCCAACGTAACATTTCTATTGTATTAATAACATATAATGTACCTATTACACCAATAGTATAGTATTATAATACTTATAGTCATCTCTTTCAAAGAACACTCCAGTGTCCCTGACTACCAATGGACTCTAAACAGAGAAACTTAACAACCTATTACATGCGTCAAAGAACATTCACTGTTGCCAAGTAGTGTTTCTACAGGTATGAATGAAGGATACTCCCCTTAGGCAGAACAGGTAAGGCTTCCAGGAGCTCTCACATCCATCGAGCTGCTTGGAGGTCGTTGCTTCTCTGCATTTTATGTTACCCCAGTCTCTATTCCTAGGGGAGCACATTCAGCAAGGGCACAAAGACCCTCTTGGCCAGAGGGGTGGTTTCTTTAGACCACAGGAGGGGAACTCCTTAATCACATTTAGGCAAGTTAACAATCTGTTCAGGGCCGCCTGAGGATTAAGTGGCACAGCCCAGAGTAGAGAGGGTACCCCAGCACGAAAGAGACTCCAATGTCCTAGTGTCAGAGGCAAAAAGGAAAATTACAGAGCTCAGCTTCCTCCTAAGTGAACAGTTGAACTTTTAAGACCTTACACAAATGTGTCTACAGAGTCCAAAACAACACAGGGAAGCTGTGACATTTAAAAGAAAAGCAAATGATAAACTCAAGTAAGAAATCTTCCACTCAGCATCCCAGCAGCAGAGAAAAATGCCAACCCCAGGACTCCTACATGTGGTTTATGCTGAATGAGCTATTTCAAGCAGGAAAGGTTCTGCTTTTAAGCCATTCCCAGTTTCTGTTTTGTTTTTAGGTACATCTTGTTAAATATCCACAATGAAAATGTACCAATCCCAAATATATTTCAATGATAGAAATACTGTGACCACTGTTTAGTTGAAATCAACACTATTTCTCTCAAAACTGCTTTCTGGCCAAGCGCGGGGGCTCACTCCTGTAATCCCAGCACTTTGGGGGGCTGAGGCAGGAGGATCACCTAAAGTCAGGAGTTCAAGACCAGCCTGGCCAACATGGTGAAACCCCATCTCTACTAAAAATACAAAAATTAGCAGGGCGTGGTGGTGAGTGCCTGTAATCCCAGCTACTTGGGAGGCTGAGGCAGCAGAATTGCTTGAACCTGGGAGACAGAGGTTACAATGAGCCAAGATTGGGCCACTGCACTCCAGCCTGGGAGACAAGGGCAAAAAAAACTCCGTCTCAACAAAACAAAACTGCTTTCTATAAAGATTACTATAATTCATACCAAGCCCAGAGCATAGTGCCTGACACATTTGTATGTGCCGAGAAACACTAGCTTTCCTGATTCGTATGAGCTAAAGATTGAAGGCTACTGTGAGCCAGGCACTGAAAGCTCTTTATACACCTTCTCAAAGACTATACACACAGTCTACAAAGGTGCTGTTATCATGTCCAATTTACAGATGAGAAAACAGGTTCACAGAGGTTAAGGCAACCTCCCAAAGGTCACACTGCAAAAAAGAGGGCAGGCTGGGACTCAACACAACTCAAAACAGCAGCCACACAATTTCTTAACTCTTAACAGCTTAGCCCTCACACCAGAATAATTTACCATCTTTTCCATTTTACACTAAAGCCATTTTTGAGGTTGTTTTTATGCGAAGTCAGAGCAGGGTGGGGACACTAGTCATCAACGTGTGCCCACTGCCATCTTCAGAAGTCTCCCCTAGGCTCTGCTCAGCCCTATTTGCTAAACAGCAGGTCCCTGGAGGTTGCACAACCCTCAGCAGCAAAGCAGCTGGAATCCAAAACTAACACGCCTATCACTTCGATGCTTCCTCTTCACTCAGGGCAAATAATCCATCAGTGCACAAGGCCACAGGTGTGAGGGGCAGCACAGAGAGGAGAGGCCCCATTCTACAAGAGCAAGCCTTCGGATCTGAGCCTCACGGAACAGGCAGGCTCTAGCCTGCAGCCTCCATTCCTGCAGGGTGAGAATACAGGAAGCTAAAGTGGCCAGTCTGGCCCTCATGAGGCAGATGGAAGCCTGGAATCAGCAACGGGAGACCAGGCCACTGAATGGGCCAGTGGCTAACTGCAAGGGCAGTGAACTGAAACAGCAGCTCCTACTTCAATGAAAGGGACCCAGGAGGGGAGAGAAATGACCCAGTGTAGACATTTTCCTTACAGCACACACAAAAAGCACATGCCTGCATATGATGATGATGGGCTATGGCATTTCAAGCCAAATTTATACTAAACATCAAAGAAAACCAGGGCTTTTCTGAGGCCAAAACACATCCCTAACTACATTCTTGAAGAAAACAAAAATGGATGAGCTCTGACCCACGCATAACCATATAGTCTTGCCTTTTCAACGTTTACAAATGGTCGTCCCAGCCCTTCCTTCCCCAGTCTCTGACCTTTTCAGAACATCTTGGTTCCTCTCCTGATGTTTCCTAGTGAAATTACAGTACATTCAACAGACTGACCCCATTTTATTTCCCTGTGATTTAAACCTGATGTTCAATGTGACAGTATTTCCATTTAAAGTAAGCAAAACAATTTTTTTAAATGTTTCTCATACACAAATATTAACATTTGGCTAAAAAGGAAGGGGCCTGCAATTTTTTTAAAAAATGAAATGTACAAATGGAAGGAAAACAATGATCCCAAAATCCCCATTCAAGGAATTGTGAATGGAAACAGTTTTACAATAGCCTTCAGTATACTATCAAATACTAGCTTTATGTTTATATAAAAATAATCGTATATACACATATAGATACGTACACAAGGATCCAAGGTGCGCACAAGGATCCAAACTTAGCAGGGAATTTCCCAGAGTGCCGGCTTCTCTGACACCCTGGAAAGGAACTCAGAAACACAGGTCTCTCTCCAGACTAGAAAACCCCAGCTGGAGGCCAGAGGTGGGACATGCCCTCGGAAGGAATCATGCAGGCAGACGGAGGGGAACAACACACTCTTTTCTACACAAAGAAGCCCATTGCCAGATCTGAATCTGGCCGCAAATCCGTCAAGACACAGGGCAAGTGGAAACATCAAAAACCATCTTACTGAGATGGTCAACCGATAGCTAAGCAGACGCACTCAGGACTGAGATCCCATAACACAGCAGCTAAAAGCCTCAAGGTGGCCAGGCACGGTGGCTCACGCCTATAATCCCAGCACTTTGGGAGGCCGAGGCTTCAGATCACGGGGTAAAGAGATTGAGACCATCTTGGCCAACATGGTGAAACTCTGTCTCTACTAACAATACAAAAATTAGCTGAGTGTGGTGGTGTGCACCTGTAATCCCAGCTACTCAGGAGGCTGAGGCAGGAGAATCACTTGAATCCAGGAGGCAGAGATTGCAGTGAGCCAACACGGCGCTATTGCACTCCAGCCTGGCAACAGAGTGAGACTCCATCTCAAAAAAAA